ATCTAATAGCAAATGTTTACTGATATCCTCAGCTTTTTCAAGCTATGGAATAGAAAGGGCATCTAAGAACTTATTATGTAATTTTTCGAGCCTATAGTTAGCTTGTCTACCTATTTGTAACAATTTTCTATATAATTCATTTATAGTTATATTTTCTTTTCTAATTGTTCTATATTGCAAATTCTGAAGCTCCTCTTCTACTGTAGGAAAATGTGTTTTTAGCTACCATATAGCTTAACTGAAATAAATACCAGCTACAACTACTGTAGTACTATTATTAGCATTTGGTACATTAATAGCAATATTAGTAAGACGACCACCTGCTATGCACCAATCTTCATCCCAAGGACCCTCTACAGCTCTTAATTTGACTATTGCATTACCAAGTTGGCCGAGTACCTCATTCAATGCTTGATTTTCTATTTGAACTGCTGTTCTCCCGTTTATAGCTACTAAGTTGGCTTGCTCTATATTATCAAGTAAGTTTGCTAATTTCCAATTCTGTTTTGTAGTAATCTTTTCATCAAACTATTCTAAAGCTCTTCCTTTCATACATCCTCTTAAATATCCTATAGCTACTTCTCTTCCTGTTAGTGGACCTCTCGCATTATCTGCTGGATTTACTTCTTGGTTTTGCAAGTATAATCTAAGTTTTGCAAAGAAATCTGGTATATCTTCACCCCAGTTAAAAAATAGTTGCAGTATTCCTACCATTCCTATTCATTATATATTAGGTGGATTATTCTGTAGCGCAAAAATTTGTTGATTTAAAATTAAAATATTTTGGCACTCTGCATAAGTCTTATTTTTTCACTTCTCATATTGTTTATATAACCTATCTTGATTATATTCTAGCAAAGCTTTATTAGCTCTGCATCGTTGTAGATAGTAAGTATTTCGCTAATACAATAACTAGAAAGCAAAATTTTCATATAGCAATGCACCCATACAGGTTTGCTTTATTGTTATATTATTTATCATTCTGTTTACATAATTCTAAGCATTAGTCTATAACTGATGAAGTTCAAGCAATGTCTGGTCTCATTCCTGCCTGTATATATCATGATTCTATCATTTATTCATCAGATCTTGTTGCAGATTAGTATATTTACGTCGAATTGCTCTTATTGATCTTTTAATTTGATTTGTTAAAATGGTTCTATATATTGTTGTATTATCTAGAGATCAGTCTATAGCATCAGCCAATTCAGCTATTGTACCTATATTATCAGAATTATACAAGTCTAGAGAATTTTCATCAGAATCATATTCATTTTCACCAAAATTCTATGTCTGTGTATTTTGTAGGTTCAAAGAACCATTGCTTTGCAATAAAACCTCTTGTGTATTTCTAAGCTCTAATCTATCTCGATATCTTAATAATGCTAATGCAAAATTTTAACAAAACAGATCTGTAATACGATTTTTTTGCTGATTTATTTTATTAATTCTATTTATTTGATTAACTCTTATTATATTTATTTCTTGTTTAAGATGTTCGTTTTCATCTACTAATCTGGTTGTATAATCTTGTACTTTAGGGGTATTGCCAGCTGATTTTGATATTTCATGAATTCTAGTTTTTAATTTTGTCTCTCGTTTATTGAATTCTGATATTAACTTATCCTTATTAGAAATCTCCTTATCTTTCTTTTTATTTTTTTCCTCAAGTTGGTGAACGATTCTTTTGAGTTTTGAGATTTCTTCTAATAATTCTTCTTTGTCTTGTCTAGAAAGCTCGATAGTGTTATTTAACTCTTTTTCAAGATATTGTATCCTTTTTTTATGTATACCTATAACTCTTTCTAAGGTATATAGCCATTGTTCGAAATTTTATTTGATTCAGCTAATTGTAATACCACCTTATAGAGTTCCTGGTTAGTTTGTTATAACTCCTCTATATTTTTTATTACTATAATAAAACAAAGGAATGGAGAAACCCGTAATTTATATTGACCTACAAAGAGCCTGTGATTTGGATAAGGAGATTATTTTGCAAAAAATTTATTATAGGCCTGAAGGTTATTATCGGACTGCTAAAAAAATACGTGATGCATATAGAAGGGCTAAACATAATTTTTTATTAGCTAAGATATATAATTGGTTAAATAAGCAAGCCATTTTTCAGATTCATAAGCTTCGCTCTAAATTTATTCAATACTCTTCTTTTAATGGAATACAAAATTTAAATGAAGTTCATCAATCTGATACTACGCCTATGCCTCATGATAAAATTAGCAACTGAATTTACAAGTACAGAGATGTAATAAAAGATGTTGCGACTAGATTTTGATGTAGTTTTGCTTTGACTATTAAATCATCTATGCAAATGGCTAAGGCGATTCAAAAAATTTATAATGATCTAAACTACCCTCTTACTTATCCTAAAACTTTTATTACAGATAAGAGTACAGAATATATGGGCGAATGTAAGGATTTATTGCTTAGTTATGATGTAAAAATTCAGTATACCAACTCTAAACATGGTACAGCTATAGCTGAACATGATCATCAAGAATTTGAAAAACATGCTTATTTTCAACAAGATGCTGTGGATTTTCATTTACCTTTATCTGAAAGGTGTAGAGCATAGGTTAAGGGACTTCATATAAATGATGATATTTTTAATAATACTCCTACTTGCTTAATTGGAATACCCCCTAATGAAGCTGTAAAAAAAGCATTAAAAGGAGAAAAAATAATAGCCAGATCTTCAGTAAAGTATCGAAGACTTACTGGATATGATAAACTACTTTTACTTAGCTATACTGAAGTTCTTCATCTTTTAGAACCTGGTGAATTAGAAGGTTAGAGAAAAAGAGTAACTAATTGCAATTGGTCTCCTGAAGTTTTTACAATTGATTCTTATTTGATAATAAAGAATCAACCTGTTCTCTATAAGCTTTACAATGGTCCTAGATGCTTATTTGTGAGAGAAGAACTACAAATTGTCCTACCAGATTCAGTCTTACCACTAAATATATTCTCAAGCATTAGACCTTTCATCTCTCTCCTCTACTTGGTATAGAATTTGTTCGAAGGCATCGCTTAAGTAGTCATCTATTTCAGCTCTATTGTAGACTATAATTTGTTTATTTCTAAGCCAATCAGTTCATGAATTCTTTTTTCCCTGTTTTTTATTCCCGGGTTTATCATCTATAAGAAATTTGATAAGTGAATATAGAGTGAACTTAAATTGTCTACGCTTATCGAATTCCTTTTCAAGTATTTCTCTAAACTATTTTCTTCGGCTTTCTAACATTTTTTATATATCACTTCCATTATCTGGATAGGATTTAGGAACTTTTGCACGATGTATGGCTATAGCTCTTCTTTTAACTGCTGTTCCTAATTCTTCTTGTTCCCTAAATTCTAAATCCTTCTCTGACTTTTTATGCTCCTTAATTTCTTCTAAACGCTCAAATTCTTTATTAATCAAATTCTTGCTCTGATAGGATGCTTCAGAGTAGCTAGATTTATTATTTTTTATTTCCCTTTTTTTATATTCCTCTAACTCTTTTAAAGTTAGTAGGTGAACTGCATTAGGATCATATTGTTCTAAATTATGGAAAAGAGTCTTATAAGTATCTAGATCGTTTACTTTAAGTGGTTCATTATCTAGATCAAGTTCTTTTCAATATTTTTGTAATTTTACACCCCATATCTTAATTCGCTCTCTGGGTTTACGTGCATTTGAACTAACCTAGTTCTTTGCCTCCTCTTCTGTGATGTAGTCGTTACTAAGTACTGGAGCTTTCTTTTCAGGTTCTAGCTCAGAAACTTGAATTAGAATTACCATATATGGTTTCCCCTGTGCTTTGATTTTGGAAGTTTGGATAGCCTGTTGGATAGCTTTTTGAATAGGCATCTGAATTGGCACTTGAATAAAAACTACTTCCTTCTGTTTTTGTAATAGTTTGCATAGATTTTTTCGCTTAAGATGCTCATGAAGTTTTTGAGATGTTGAATATTCATGACTACAACATTTACTAATTGTATCTTTTTTATCACTTCTTATTTTTCTAACTATGGTGTTAGCTCTAACTGTCACGCTATTACTTGCTTATTTAATTTTTTCTTTAATTAATTATTATATATGTAGAGTACATATTACTTTTCAATCTCTCCTTCTTGAAGCCAGATATTTTTAGTTCACACTATATAAGATAACTATTAATCTTTTTCGAATTTATGACTAGAAGAAAAAAAGGATTGCAAAACTGAAGCATTAACTAATTATTATTAATCTTTTTCAAATTTAGTAATAAAATAGTAGGATGATCAGTGAGTATTTTTGCTCCTATCTTAAAAATTCAGAAGAGGCTTGTGAGAGAGCTTGTATTCACCCTGAAGGATATCAATTCTATTGGAAAGCTAAAAAATGTATCCCTTGCTCTGATTGTGATAAACCTACCTCTTCTGCTTGTAGCTGATACCCATTACATATCAGAGGCTTTTATGTTACCTAATATTATGATAAACTTCGGACTAAGGCTTTAAACGAACCCATTCTTGACTAAGAAAAAGTTGGATCAATTTCGTGGATTTCTTCTGAATTTTTACAGAGGAGTATTAGAGTTAGATTTATATAATTAATATATTAATTTATGAGCTGCTCGAAGCTAAAAAGAGTTAGTTAACAAATTTTTCTTTTTTTTTGAATTTATAAGAATCATTAGACTTATTAATGGGGACAATTGTTTGACTTATAGGAATAATATGCTAATTAAAGATCTAG